GAATTGTAATTAGCGTCAAGCAAGAACTTGACAGCTGTATAATCATTCAGGACATTCAAGGTGGCAGAGAAGATTGCCAGAAAGATCCATAAGTTGGGGGAATTTGTATTGTATATAAGAAAAATAACAAATTTGTGTTTTTAAGACTGTCACTGTCCTGTATTTGGTCATTGGATTAATTAGCCCATTAGTATTGAGAATTCTATTCATGGTGCTAAATAGTTTGAGGGGGTATAATGTGTGTAGGTAACAGTTCTAGTCTTAGTGATCATAACTGTATGTAATTTTATAAGCTCTGAAGAGTCAGGTTTATCCAATTTGAGGGCATTAAAATCCATTACTGCCTGGAACTTTGAAGAGAGAAACATTCAGGGACACATTTGAAAGCACTGGGACTGTTGATACCTGCGCCCGATTGTTAATTTAGAAAATTTAGAGTGAGCTGTTAGAATTCAGGAGGGGATATGTTTAATTTTATTAAATTTTAGCAAGAATTGGTCTACTGTGATGTTTGGGGGCGGGAGAAGGAAGAGCAGTCTTTCACTTAACGCGTGTGTATGTGAAGACAGTTTATATGACACAATACAGAACTTTTAAACAACTTGTTGGGCTTCTCCTTTACTTACCTGTGTGTGGGTGGAAATGCTTAGAATCATTGCACAAAGGTCATTTTAAGAAAATACAATACCATGAGATTTTATGTTCTGGAAAATACGGATTCAAAAATGTGAGTGCCCACCATGTGCGGGACACCTGTGTTAAGTGCGCTGGGGCGTGGCATGGAATGCTCTTTCATTTAGAGAGAGGACCTCGGCTCTTGGGCAGGTGGACAGGCTGCAGGGAGGTGAGGCACCACGGTCCAGCTGCCAAAGAGTCTCCATGTGACAGTGAGTGGGGTTCCACCTCTTAAGTGACTCTGGACTCTGGTTCCCCACCGCGGGCACTGTTCCTGTTCTGGCTTCGGCAGCCAGGACGCTTAAGGGTGCTTGGTGTTTGGCCAGGCGGAGTGAACTGCCACCCCTGGGATGGGGCCGGGGGTGGGGGCGGGCAGGTGCCTGAGGAAGCCTACTGAGACCCTGTGTGCAGAGAGGTGGAGTGGTGGGGAGACAGAAAAAACACATTGGAGATGATGGTGTGTTTGCCACCTGATGAAGGGTTCAAGCTGTTTCACGTGTGGAAACTAAATGTGAGACCGTGAGGAGTCATTGCCTTATGTGAAGGTCATTGCTTTTGTCTCTACTACTAAAAATGGGCATTGGCATTTGTGGAGAGGACTTGGTTTGGACCTTAAAGGAATGTGTTTTTGTGTTGTCATTACTTGTGTTGAGCAGGTCAGCATTGGTCATCAGGGTCCACTCTTGAACTGGGTAGTGGAGTAGCGGCATTCCCTTTCCTAAGCTAGCCTCTGTTAGGCGAGGCACGGTGGTTCCATCAGAGTGTTCGTGGGTCTCCTCTGTGCACTGAGCACCATGTGAGACTGGGATTCGAAGGGATAGACAGTATCCCTGCTCTTGAGCTTTGACAAAATCATCATATATGGCTGGAGACGGATTGTGAAGTAGTAGATGACCTGCTTCCAACTGGGAATGTTACAGAAATCCAGAGAAGGAAGGCCCCTGTAGGGCTGGGTCCAGCGGGGCACTGAGCGCTAATGGTAGAGCAGGCAAGTCGAGGAGAGGCTGAATTTAACCCGCGTGGAATAATAGAGAAGATCAAAGCGAGGTGATTTCTGAAGTTTCTCCTCATTTCTAGTGTTTATTGCTTATTTTCTTTAAAAAATCATATCAATTTAGGAAACTCCTGTCAGTTGGTAGTGTTTCTCCTTTTCCAAACTTATTGAGAAGGGTGACAAAGAAATTGAAAGTCTTACTTTTTAGGAGTCAATGTTAACATGGACAAGCACTTGACTTTAAGAGATGGTTCAGTACTGAAAATGGATTTGTAGTCATCCGGGATTTGCTCAGCTTCAAATTAAAGTTTGTAATCAGGGGCTCCTGGCTGGCTCAGTCCGTTGAGCATCCAACTCTTGATTTCGGCTCAGGTCATGATCTTAGGGTTGTGAGACTGAGCCGCCAGTCGGGCTCTGCGCTCAGTGGGGAGTGTCCTTGGGCTTCCTCCCTCTCTCCCTCTGCCCCTCCCCGCCTGCTGCCCAAGCACCTCGTGCTCAGTGTCTAAGATAAATAAAATCTTTAAAGTTTGTGTTCAGACTATGTTCATACATTCATCAGCTCAGCTGGAACTGAGGCTTGTGGCCTGGCCTCACAGGGAAGTAGTTAGAGGCCTGAGTTCTCTGATGATCCCTCGCCCTGTCCTCACATACCTCTAAATGCTTTTGCTGCACAAATTAATTTTGTCTTTCTCTTCTTCCCACTAAGAATTGTGTTAAATAATTAGGTATAACATAAGTTAGAATAATTAAGAAAATAGTGTATTTGTATTTTACTCAATTTTTGAGAAGTTTTTTTCAGTGGCAGTTGGAAGCGGAGCCTCGCTGTTCTGCTTGGTTTGCTGGTTGTCCGCGGCTCGGTGCTGTTCTCTGCCCGTGTGGCTGGACTGCGCCCACATCTTTGGGGAAAGCCAGAGCCGCCTCAGCTCCTGTCTGCGGAAAGCGCCTTGTCTCTCGATGAGTGGAGTTGGCTTGCTGCTTGTCTGGTGCAGAGGACCAAGCATGGTCTGGAAGGCAGGATGGAGTTTAGATTTTAGGAAAATGCAGCCAGACAGCATAATTGAGTCAACCCATACTTAGAGCCTTGCAGACCTATTTCCCTTCACTGTCCAGATGGTTGGAGCTGGGGCAAGGGTAGCTTCTTTAGGCTAACACGAGTTAGTGGACGTAACCAAAGACTCCTAGCACGTGGTTTCTGCTCCCAGGGGCGTACAATGGATTGGGAAGGCAGGGCAATTCATAGGCAACCTAAAACCATGTTACATCGACTAATTAAAAGAAAACAGGAAGATTTGGATTAAATTGGTAGGTAGAATTAGGCCATGAAGATTTCTCAAAAAGTGAAGATGCATGACTTAGAACCACAGGAAAGTCAAGCATCCTGTATGTAGGACGGCTCCAGCGCAGGATTGGAAAGTGGGTGAGTCAAGACTATCCTGGGGTAGGCGGGATGAGCATCGAGAAGCCCGCTGTGGCTCAGAGGACACAGCAGGACGCCCACAGGGCGGGGCTGAGTGCGGGGGAAGCCGCGAGGGCCAGTCTGAAGTGGGCGTGGCTCCCAAGTACCTGTCCGCTCTGGATCAGAAACAGCCAAGAGTGGTTCTGGGTTTTTTTCTCTCATTTTCTTAGCTTAACCTCTGGAGATTCTGGTTTGGTGAATTCTGATAGGATCCAGGAATGTCTATTGAATCCCAGAGGATTGTGAAGGCAGCCATGCTGCCTTTCCTGAGCCAGACAGTGTCGAGTGCCCTGGGTGGGCGTCTGAGGGGGCGGTGTGTGGGGGTGACGGCTGGCTGTCACCAGGTGCCGAAAACATTAGCGGCTTTTGTCAGGGCGGCGTGGGGTGGGGAGCACGGAGAGTAAGCAGTAAGAAGATGCAGGACGAAACGGGCCATGGCTGGGGGACAAGCAAGAAAAGTAAACTCGTACCTTGTTATGAAGGACACCCCTGGATAGGACAAAGGACTGTTCAGTCTTAGTGTTTGGGGTATGCTGGAATTTCCAATCAGCTTTTAAACATGAGTTGGCCTCAAGACAAAATTACTGAAATGTTTTAGCTTTGTCTAGTACTTGCTTAAAAAAATTCAGCACACGCGATCGTATCATTAAGTCACCCAGCTTTTTTGAACAAAAGCTGCTGGGGTGGGGACGTGTCGTTTCCTGCCCTTCCCAGAGCTGGTTATTGCTAGTTTTATTGCAGTTTGCTCTGAGCCAGGAGAAAATCTCTAGGTTCAGAACTACCCCCCCCCCCCATCGGATGTTTGCCCTAGTTTCCTTGCACACCAGTGCTTGATAGGAAGATGAGTTCAAGTAGGTGCTCAAATACAGTATAATCCAATATAAAATCCCTGCTGGCTGGGAGGGCGTCCCTGCACCTCTAGGTTAGTCCCACCCAAAACACTGTGGCCACTCTTACTGTCAGATCCCCAGACAGCCTCAAGAGCACATGTGGGTCTGGTTGCAGCTAAGACACACCTACCACTGCCACCACCCAAAAAACTAACAAAAACAAGACTCCACTCTGGACCAGACTTCTTTGGAAACTCCAACTCAGTCATAAGTAGGAAGAGGCACAGATTTTTTTGTGTTTACTTTAGATCTGCTTCCCAGACAATATTGTGTCCCCTGCCTGTCTTCCTTCATTCCACAAACCTTTATTGAGCGCCTGCTGGATGCCAGGTATGGTGTTGGATGTTGGGAATTCAGCCTTCTGAATAACAAGAACGCAGGTCTTGGTGGCTCGGTTCTGTTCTTCAGGGATATCTTTTTTTTTTTTTTTTTTTAAGTAGGCCCCACACCCAGTGTGGGGTCTTGAATTCCCCACCCTGAGATCAAGAGTCGTATGCCTACCGAGCCAGCCAGGTGCCCCAGGCACCTCTGCTGCTGATGTGCACAGTCTCATGTCAGAGATGCAGATTGAGTGGTGGAGAATGGGGGTGGGGGGTAAGGGGACGTGTAGGAGCTCCTGCTCCATGGTGAAAAATTCAGTGTCAACTTGGAAAAATGCCAGACAGGAGACTGATTGGGTGTGAGTGAATGTCAATCATGAAAACGTCCAGTTTCGGGAGCCTGCGACTCTTGATCTCGGGGTTGTGAGTTCCAGCCCTGCATTCGGTGGAGAGATGACTTAAATAAAAGTTAAAAAAAAAAAAAAAAAAGGGAACAGAGATATTCTCAGCTTTCTGGAAAATTATGCTCTGTGGCTAAACCGATTTGCTCTTGAATCATTTATATTTTTTTAGCTTTTATTTGACACAGCACAAGTAGGGGAAGTGGCAGAAGGAGAGGGAGAAGCAGACTCCCCACTGAGCAGGGAGCCTGATGTGGGACTCGATCCCAGGACCCTGGGATCATGACCTGAGCTGGAGGCAGACGCCCAAGCAACTGAGCCACCCAGGTGCCCCACTCTGGAATCATTTAAAGAGGACCCCAAGTGCTAGGCTGTTTGTCTCATCAAACCACAAGGTACGGGAGGTGGATGAGGTTGGCGGCTCTTCTCAGAGTTTGTTATAAGAAGATCATAGGAGAAAACGCTGTGGGCGGACAGATGCTGGAGGAGGGAAGACAATGTGGTCCCCATTTACTTCCAGCCCAGCACCCATTCCTCCTTCCAAAGGAAATGACATCTTTTTCAAGAAGCCACCCATTTCCCACACCCAGGTCCAGGGCAGTCCAAAAGACACTCCCTCCTTCTTGCCTGATAGGCTCAGCAATGACCACGTGGCCCGTTTTGGGCCAGAGATTAGAGGCGAGAAAAGCTAATGGTTTCTGGGGGATGCTTTACCTTATTTTTTCTGGGAGTGGTCCTGAAGCAATCTCTTCTTTTCCCCTGGAACCGTTAGGGTTAAGCAGACATTGCGGTCGTGTGGCCCCCAGGAAGCACCCGGGACCCTCGCGGTGTTAGTGACATTTTTCCAGAGTGCACCGAAGCCGGCCCTGCCCGTGGACTTACACTTGGGTGAACCAGTACATGTTCTTGGTATTTAAGCCAATTTGAATTGGGTTTCCTGTTAATCGTAGACAAAAGCATCTTGACTGAGTGCCAAGATACTCTTACCATCATTGTATTATCGTATTATTTTTTCAGACTTACCCCTAAAGAGAGAGCAATATGCAAAATTACCTGTGGGCCATGATTGCAACACCAGCTAGCTGCGGATGGGAAGGTGTGCGGAAACTAGTGATGTTCCCCTGTAGAGGGATGTTTTTCTCGGTTTCTATGAACTTCTACTTTATATTACGTGTTTTCCACAGTGACCGTGTGTGACGCCTCAGGGAAAAAATGCGCAGGAAATAAGACTAGAAGACAGAAGGTTGGGAAGGTTCTGGAATCCCGGCTAATTTTTTTTCCTTTTCTCTTATTTTCCAACTTTTGTATAATATGCTTATTATATTACTTTGTCATTTAAAAAACTTTTTTATTTTTATTATTATTTTTTTAAGATTTATTTATTTAACAGAACACACATGAGTCGGGGGGGCAGGGGAGGAAGGGCAGAGGGAGAAGCAGGCTCCCCGCGGAGCAGGGAGCCCGATGTGGGGCTCGGTGCCAGGACCCTGGGACCACGACCCAAGCCGAAGGCAGATGCTTAACGACTGAGCCACACAGGTGCCCCTAAAAACTTTTTCAGTTCCTTCACTGAAACCTTAAGAGTGGGGGCTTCCTTTCCTGCTTCCAGAAAGGAAACACGTGCACACGGTGAGGGCAATTTCCACAGGAGAGAAGGTAGGAAAAGTCATTGTTCCAGATTTCAGGGCGTGCAGGGGTCCTCGGAGCACCCCAGGGCATGACCCCCGAGGGGTACATTAGCCTGCATTCCTTCTCTTTCAGAGCCTTTCTCAGTCTGTGATTGCATATTTACTGGTGGGATCATCTGATTATGGCTGGTCCTTGTGTGCCTCGGGATCAGTGTTGTGCCCCCAGCACCTGGCATATGGTACGCTCTCAATGACAAATCTTTGTTAGGAATTAATGAATGAGGGGCGCCTGGGTGGCTCAGTTGGTTAAGCGACTGCCTTGGGCTCAGGTCATGATCCCGGAGTCCCGGGATCGAGTCCCGCATCGGGCTCCCTGCTCAGCGGGAGGTCTGCTTCTCCCTCTGACCTTCCTCCCTCTCGTGCTGTCTCTCTACCATTCTCGGTCTCTCATATAAATAATAAAATCTTTAAAAAAAAAGGGAATTAATGAATGAGAGAACAGAATCAGCCCTCTTGGAATTGCTTTGGGGTATAAATATTTCCAGTTACATGGACAGGCTAGCGAGCACTGCAGCCATCGTCTCTCATGGTGGTTATGGTCTGAGGAATTACATTTTGAGAGGAAAACAGAAGGACTGGAGAAAGGACTGTAAGTCTGGAGCCTGGAATCTGCATTTTCCCCCCAGTAATCTCTACACCCAACGTGGGGCTTGATCTCACAACCCTGAGACCAAGAGTCGCAGGGCCCCCGGACCAAGCAGGCCAGGTGCCCCTGGGATCTGAATTTTGGGGGGATGCGGGGATCGCACGGGGATGCGTGCCCTGGATCTGAGCGCTGACCTTGCTCACGGTCACCCGGCTCCCAAGAAAACCATGCTGGTGCGCCTGTGTGTTTAATGTGAGCCAGTCTTTATTTTGCACTTTGTGTGGTGCATTAACGAACTCCACATACAATGTAGCATTACATATTGTAGCTTAGCATTACAGCATTATGAAGTTTCACACAATTCATGTTTGCTTTTCCGGGTTTTTCTTTTTTTTTTTTCTTTTTTTTTCTTTTTTTAATTTGACACATTTATTTTGAGTTTCCTTTTTTACAAGAGAAGACACAAGGTAAAGAAAGTCGGCCACATTGGAGAAGGACCCTGGTGAGGGCAACGGGCAGTGTCACAGTCGCGGCCACAGGAAAAGCCTTCCAAGAAAAGACCTGCATCGTTCCCTCCCCTGAGCAAGCCGCTCCTGTCCCACAAGCCAGTTCTGTCTGCTTTCCTAGCTAGAGCATGTTCCTGGACACGTACATCTTGGCTGTGCTCCACTGAGAACTGAAAGGAGGAATAACTCATAAAGGGACTTTTGTTATTAAGAAAAACTCTTGTCTTCCCAAAGGAATCGAGATATCAGCAGAGAAGTCCTGACTCTTGGAAAATCCGAAGCGGTCGCTCCCTGACCCATTCCTGACCATGAGTGCCTTGTGCAAAAGCTCGGGTGCGACTCTCGTCTTTCAACTGACTCTTGGGAGGAGGCGCTGCTCCTCGGCGGGATCGGCTAGCTCTGGGAGGGGCACGTGTGAAAGCCAAAGGCAGCTAAGAGACTTTGGGACAGCAAAGCCAAGGGCATGATGGGTCAGGCGTGAGGTAGGAGGGTGGAGAGCCCTGTGCTGTCTGCTGGTTCCCGCCAGGTCACCTCCCCACCCACTGCTCCACAGACCCGAAGAGTGGGAGCAACAAAGCTACCAGGGATGGGGAAGGGCGGAGTGGGGTGAGGCGGCCTTCCCACACCTGTGGCGGGAGGAGCTGCTGAGGCACACTCAGCAGGGCAAAGACCAGACTCTCACCGGCTGTTGCTTTGCATTGTTTCTGGGAAGGAAACAAAAGCGGGTTGCTCAGCAATTTCTGATCTTCAGACATTAAGGCGATGAAGAGGAAGCATTTAAGATTTTTTTCCTAATGGGGCTTCAGAATGCTCCTGTCAGATTTACATTAAACTATCTTAAAATGCATTTTTAGAAAACAAAAATTATTTTCTTCTACGTATGATACAGTATTTACATTCCATGGAGTTTAGGCTAGAGACGGGTGGTGTGGACACACTGATGGGAGAGTGAGTCAGATGAAGGGGGCGGGGGGGGGCAGGGACAAGAACAGAGTGGGCTTTGTGCCTGCTCAGAACTGCTCAGCACTGCTTAGAATCCAGGTTTTAAAAAGAACAACGAAAAGATTCAGGGAGCAGACTGGTCTTAAATCCACAAGAGCTAAAAGAATGTCACACGCACCGTTGCCGCTCTGTCCACAGACACCCAGCAGCCTCAGAAGTGGGTCGGAAGGGGTGGACCTGCTCTCTGAGGCCTTGGCTCTGGTGGCTGCTAACCTGAGCTCTGCTGTCCGGACAGGCTCATGGCCTGGGGCCCGGGCTCTGCCCTCTGACAAGTCTCGACACCGGAGCTGCGGCTGACCGGGAGCCCGGAGCCCTGATCCCGGCGAGACACCAGCTCCCTCGCCACCGCGCTGCCCGCCAGCAGGAGGGGGTCAGCACCGCGTGCCTCCTCCGGCCCTTCACCTTGTCTCGACGCCCAGTGAGACCCAAGAACTAAGCACTCTGTTATGAGGGACACAGGATGGTAGAAGAGAATCCAGGTTACCTCGACTACCCATTAACTCCCATTTACTCATTTCACTCATTTCCTTAGTTTTAAGAGCCACAGTTGAAAAATTTAAGGATAAAGAATAATTTCTGAAGGCCCTTTTCCTTATGAAGCAAAACCAATCTCATCTAAGCTACCTGAGAAAACTCTAAAGCTTCTCGTGGGCCAGCATTTCTGGAAAACCAGGCCAGTTTCATCCTTCACACCAACAGATGGCTGTCCTTCGGCCATGGGGCTGCTAGGGGGTGGTGGACGCACCATTCTGCCCACACCCACGAACAACGAACGCCCCAGCTCCCTGGAGCCACCCTGGCCGGACTGGAAGGCTTTGAAGCTCTCTCCAGAGAAGACCCCTAGTTTCATAAACCCGAATTCTACCTCGAAGTCTGCTGTGTTCATGTACTTCATCGCACGTCAACCCCGGACTGCCCCTGAGCCCCCCCAGCAGGAGTGTGGCGGCAAGAACCCCACGTCCCGAATCCTCTTTCCCCTGCACACCTGCCTCATCCACCCCAACTCCGTTTCTTGGCTCACGACAGACCTCTGCACCCTGAGCTCAAAGAGCAGAGCTGTCCGAGGTGGGAAGGAGACAAGACGGGGGTGAGGACACTGAGCAAAACAGCATCCTTCTGCCGAGCTGGGGGGCAGGAGTCACTCTCCAGAGAAGCCCAGTAAAAAAGAGGCCAATTTCAGGTAATCAGCAAATACAATTCGGCACAAAACACAATTTTCATGGATCAAAATCTGTAACTTGATATTGGCAGTTAGGCTAATTTCAGTTTGTATTAGACATGCAAGTATAAGGTTACATTGTTATATATAGACTTGTGAGGCCTTTCCCTCTCTTTTTCCCCGTTAAAAAAAAAGGATTTCTAGTGCCTTGCAAAGGAGAAAAATCGTCATCGCTAAGAACTGATCTGCAGCTGTGGTCATGTGGGGTGTTCTTTGTGGGGTGTGTTTTGTAAGAAATCTTCTACAACTAAAATGAGGTTCCAAGTCCACTCCTGTCTGGCATCTCTGTCCCCGCCGGGGGACTAGTACTCGCTCAGACTGTGCCACTTGGCCACAGACTTGCGGGGGCTCTCGCAGACCTCCCTCCAGTGCTCGGCACCGCTGCTGGTGACGCTGTGTGCCCCCAGGATCAGCCTCCCCACCGCCTCGTTCTTGGTGGTGCGGTCGAAGTCGATGACCAGGAACTCAATGCTGACGTCGGGCAGGAGGTCAGGGGGGATGTCGTAGACGAAAGACTCGTTGAAGACTGGGTTCAAAGTGCACTTCTTCACGTGGGTTTTCTTCTTGGCAATGCGCTTTCTGCCGTAGTAGACGTTCACCTTGACATAAGGATCTGGGGCCACCAAAGAGACAAGAGAAAAGGGAGACAGGCCCATGACACGGTCCTCCTCTCAAATGGTGGCTTCAGGGCGGGGGTGGGGGGTTTGCTCAACTCTGTGGTGGCCACTCACACATGGTCTCCAGGGACTGCACACCAAATGCACTGTGACTTTAGGTGGGTCTGCCTGCCCAGGCGAGGGGCCAAGGGAACCAAGCCGGAACATAGCAGAACAACTTCCCCAAGTAAGGAGTGAAGAAAGCCCATGACACTGGGAAGCATTTTCCAGGGCGCAGGGACTCACAGATGCCTGCTGTGTTTTGGAGAGGTCAGGACACCCCTCAGGACACCTCACCAAACGTTGAACCATATCCACTCACCCGGGGCCCCTCCCGCGCTAGGGACATCTAGAGCCTAGGTAGTCACCGGGGAGGGAACATGCGCAGAGGAACAGGTGGGGACCGAAGGGCGTCGGGGATGCAGGCGGGGCGGCGTGGGGCCAGGGGGCCCGAGGCAGGTCGAGGTAAATAGCTGCTACCTGAGAGACCGGTGATGTCCATTTTCGGCAGATGTCGGGCTTTGAGGACCACCACGGTCAGCCTCTGTGCCACGGGCTGGTAGGACAGAGACACCTGGAGCTCCCCTCTGCTAATGCACTTCTGTGAAGAGGAAACAGCAGCTGAGAGTCCTGGCCGGGGTGGGGGCAGGGCAGGGGCAGCGGGTGTGCAGAGGCCAGGGCGGAGGGGCTGCGGAGGGCCGCGGAAGATGTGCATCCCACCAGTGTGTTACTACATTTAACAGGGAGGGGAAACGGACGCATTCTCATTATAGTCCTGATACTAAATGAAACCAATGGCATGGAGAGGTGGCCTCACCTCTCGTATTCACGAGCGCGAGTCTAAGGCCAGACTGGTCTGGATTCAAGTCCTGCTGCCCACCCCCTGCCTGTGTGACCTGGACAAGAACTTGACGGCTCTGTGCCCCAGTTTCCTCGTCTGAAGGTGCAGATAAAGACAGCACTGACCTCACAGCATCATCAAGAAGATTAAATACATTAAAACGGGTAAATGTTTACCTGTGCCCGCGCCTGGAGAAGTGCATTCTCTCCCATTCCCTCATTCGGTTCTTGCGATAACAGTTTTAGAGCCTGGATGGTGGAAGGCAGGAGACTTGGGGCTCAGCCTTCACTTTGCTGTTCACTCACGCTCTGGCTTTGGGCAGGTGTCTGAACTTCCTCCATTCCGCACGGTGAGTATGCACCCCTGCTCTGTCTGCCTCCCAGTGTCTTCTCCAGCCAAGCTGGCTTCCTCCCCGGTGCCCACAGCTTGGGGTTCCCCTCTTTGAATTTTATTCTAGGCCCTGCTTGGAAAATGAAAAAATGCACTGGCCCCCAAAGGAGATTTTAAACAATACCTGGATACATTGCTAGGTGCTGGGGGTCCAGAGCTGCTAGGACCTGGTTCTTTCTTGTTTTTCTTTCTCTTTTTCATTTTTCCCGTTTTTTGTTTGTTTGTTTGTTTTTAATTTTAAGTTGTCTCTATACCCAATGTAGAGCTTGAACTCACAACCCTGAGATCAAGAGTTGCATGTTCCAGTGACTAAGCTGGCCAGGCACCCAGGATCCAGGTCTTGCTCTCAAGGAGCTTACCATGCCCAGAAGAGACAGAAACACACCTGCCCTCATCAGAGTAGTAAGGAGCCCGTCTGAGTGCTGCTGGGGCACCCAGGGGAGGGTTTGCCGGCTGACCTCCGGGCTGAGTTTATGAAGGTGAGGAGGAGTCCGTGAGGCGATGTACAGAGGGAGGACCGGTCAGGACAGGCGGCAGAATGCCGACTGTGAGGGCATTGGGTCCACTGTGTTCCAAGAATGGTGGGAGGGGAGGCGCTGCCCTTGGGATGCTGGTGGGAGGTGGGGCGGGCGACAGAGAGGGAAACGGGGGCGGGGCGGGGGGCTTCTAACCAAACAGCAGAGCCAGCCGGAGCTCACAGGCGGGGGGATGGCTGCCGGCCCCGGAGGGACACAGCTGTTGCTGTGTTACTGTTTTACGAAGACTAGTATTGTTCTGGTGAGAGCTGGAGCATGAACTGGAGGGAGACAGGCCCAGAGGCTGGTGCATCAGGCTGCGGAGGTGAGCGTGGGGCAGGACGCATCTCAGGAAGAGCTCACCGAAGTGGAGGGCAATTTGTGTTTCTAGCTTATTGTTTTTGTTTTATTTATTTTTTATGTTTCGTTTTCTCGTTTTTTTTTTTTAATTTTAAAAAAAATTGGGGCGCCTGGGTGGCTCAGTCATTAAGCGTCTGCCTTCGGCTCGGGTCATGATCCCGGGGTCCTGGGATCGAGCCCCGCATCGGGCTCCCTGCTCGGCAGAGAGCCTGCTTCTCCCTCTGCCGCTCCCCCTGCTTGTGTTCCCTCTCTCGCTGTCAAATAAATAAGTAAAATCTTTTAAAAATAAATAATTTTTAAAAATTTTGTGTGTTTCTGGTTTATAAATTCGGGATGAGGCTGGGAGAAGGAAAACAAAAAGAGGTGGGGTTCCAGGAATGTTGGACAAAATATGGAAATTTGGGACAAAAATCCCCCTTCTACCAACTCTTATTCCTTGTATTCTACAAAGCCTCAAAGAAATGGCACCTACCCCAGGAAGTGTTCTTTGATTGAGCAAGAACAGACTGTACCCACCACCAGCCTTCCATATGCCACAGACACACAAAATGACTTATCGTGCGTCTACTCAGAGTTGGCGGGAAAGGGGGAGGGAAAGGGGGAGGGAAAGGGGGAGGGAAAGGGGTTCATGGGGGAAGCCTACTCTCAGCAAGCACTCCCTACCTGGGGGGGTGCGCAATCTGTGCCGGAACAACAACAGAAAATCACTGAATTAGCTCATCAATGAAAAACAAGGAAAGAAACCTCAACGTCTGTGCTTGGATTAGAGGCCCAACTCATCTCAAGGAATGAAACTGTACTAATACTTCACATGGCTCAGAAACTTTCCTGAGGCTCTATGTCATTCCAGGAATGTAGGGAAATGTCTCTCCTAGGGCATAAGATGGCTAAAATGTAAACTTAGCCTTTAGCTTTTGAAATTGAAGTCCCAAAGAGAACAGACTTGAAAAAGGATTTTCATGGCTTTTCTCTGCTAGATTGAAGGCCCACGTTTTTTCCTTACCCATAACATAGATGTTGTCAGCTCTTGATTACGTCCACGGGAAGTACCCTCAGCCAGTTTAAAATCCCAGTTTAAAACCCCTTGCCAACTGGTGTTATTCTGGCCTGCTTCCTTTTGACATGAGTCACACCCCAATTAGAGAACGTAAACTCATTTTTACTGTTAGCTACAGCCAAATGACATCAGGAGAGGAATCACACATGAAAAAGAGAATTAAATGCCATCCAGAAGAACATTCAGAACCGAGCTGTCCAAAAGTCCACGAATAAGGAAATATGAGCTTGATTTGAGGTCTGTGCCTGGACCACCCTTGAATATGCACATACAGTCTTTAAATACAATTTGAGGGGCGCCTGGGTGGCTCAGTCATTAAGCTTCTGCCTTCGGCTGGGGTCACGATCCCAGGGTCCTGGGATCCAGCCCCGCACCGGGCTCCCTGCTCCGCGGGAAGCCTGCTTCTCCCTCTCCCACTCCCCCTGCTTGTGTTCCCTCTCTCGCTGTCTCTGTCAAATAAATTAATAAAATCTTTAAAAGAAAATACAATTTAAACTTTATACACAGAAGAAGGGGAAAAGAGAAACTTGATTTGAAAAACAAAGTTTTTGAGGGGCACCTGGCTGGCTCAGTCATGGAACATGCAAGTCTTTTTTTTTTTTTTTTTTAAGATTTTATTTATTTATTTGAGAGAGAGAATGAGAGATAGAGAGCACGAGAGGGAAGAGGGTCAGAGGGAGAAGCAGGCCTCCTGCTGAGCAGGGAGCCCGATGTGGGGCTCGATCCCAGGACCCTGGGATCATGACCTGAGCCGAAGGCAGACGCTTAACGACTGAGCCACCCAGGCGCCCGGAACATGCAAGTCTTGATGGCGGGTTGTGAGTTCAAGCCCCACGCTGGGTGTGGAGCCTACTTAAAAATGAATAAGTAAATAAAACAAACCCGATCATTAAAAAAAAAAAAGAGTTTTATTTGTAAAAAACAAAAAAATCCTTGACTATAAAATTATAGCTTGGATTTCCTAATTATTTGGTTAAAACTGTGTTTTGTGAATCACCCTTTAGAGTGAAATGTTTGCAAAATCTAAATCCCCAAGCTCCTTCCCTAGCTTTGGGAAAGTGGACCACTTCTGGTTGCCCTTCTAATAATTTTCTCCCCTAAAATCACCCCTCAGGCAGCTGTTCTCCATCTGACCCCCCAGCGCTGGCCATTTTATACGGCAGAATGCCTGTCCTGCTCTTACTCTGCACCAAAGGCCAGATTTCACGTCCCTCCCCACTCTTTCCCCCCAGTTCTCACTGCAAGTAGCGTCGTCAATGGTTCTTTCTCAAGGGCTCTTTGTCAGGGGCTGGGAGCAAGCTCCGTTTCCCAGCCCCCCGGCCTGGCGAGGCAGGCAGAAGCACAGGGGCAGAAAGGGTCTTATCCGTGCCTGAAAGAGCTGGGAGGCTTTGCTCTCAGACAGCAGGCTCCGGCCGCCTTCAGTGAACTCGAGTCTTGAAGAAGACACACAGATGAAGGAAGTGCTCAGGTGAGGCTCTGTTCCCTGGAATCAGCAGAGCCCCTCCCAGAGTGACCGTCCAGCCACAGGGCCTTTGCACTAGGTGGACCTGCACATCCTCAGCACACCTTCAATGGGGCCAGAAGTCCCAAGGGCCACCTCCACACAACTCACAGTCACGGGAAAACAAGAGAAACAAAAACATCCCTCATCTTCTCCCCGATATGAAGGCACAGCTACCCTCTTCCTGGCTCGCTTCTTTCTTTTCAGTCCCTTTTGGCTCCACTGCGGGCCCTCTCAGGGTCCTTACAAACCTGAGATTTTAATAACCCTGTCATTCCCATGACCATGGTCACGGGCCATCAACACCAGATGTGGCCCAGGAAAGACAGGAAGTGATTCGGAAAACAGTGACCTGAAGAGACTGGAGGAGTCCAACAACCCTGCCAATTACTTCTGTTCTTTATCCCCTCGCCCTCTCTGGACCGCCTCCTTCTCCCTGCGGGAGATTTATTACGGGAATGTAAATTCGGGTTAACTTTTATCTGAGGGGCGTCTTGCTCGCTCAGTTGGAAGAGAGGAGACTCTTGATCTCAGGGTTGTGAGTTCAAGCTCCACGTTGAGGGGAGAGCCCACTTAAAAAAAATGTCCTGAATAAAATATTAGAAAAAAAGCTGCCAGACACACACACACACACACACACACACACACACACACCACGCTCACTACACACACAGCTAGAGGGCGCCTGGGTGGCTCCGTTCTGAAGCGTCTGCCTTCCGCTCAGGTCATGGTCCCGGGGTCCTGGGATCGAGCCCCGCATCGGGCTCCTGCTTGGCGGGAAGCCTGCTTCTCCCTCTCCCACTCCCCCTGTTCGTGTTCCCTCTCTCGCTGTGTCTCTCTGTCAAATAAATAAATAAAATCTTAAAAAATTAACCCTTGATTATTAATGAAACACCACAGTATACATAATGCCCCAAATCTCTGATCTCTGAGTTAGACTCAAGAATTAGCTTTTTTTTTCTTTAAGATTTTATTTATTTATTTGACAGAGAGACACAGCGAGAGAGGGAACACAAGCAGGGGGAGTGGGAGAGGGAGAAGCAGGCTTCCCGCCGAGCAGGGAGCCCGATGCGGGGCTCGATCCCAGGACCCCGGGACCATGACCTGAGCGGAAGGCAGACGCTTAACACCGGAGCCACCCAGGCGCCCCATCAAGGGTTACTTTTTAATGCTTCCTATGTCTTACATATTCATAAGAGCTGAGAGTGCTCTCGGTGATCCCATTAGCCTTCCTGGTCCAGCCTGGATGAGAGCTAGAGAGACGGTGATTGCTGGCCCAGAGAAAGGAGACGGAAGGGTCAGAGAGGGTGGCCAGTCCTGGGCTTCCTCAGCTGGACTGCAGTGGATAATGGAAAGGACAAGAGGCAATTTTTCTGCTAGGGAGGGGAAACGCAGTTTCTGCTAAGGAAATGCAGTTGCGGGGGGAGAAGTGCAATTCTCGCCAGTCCCCACCCAGGCTCGTAGGTGGGAGAAGATAACTTGGCCCCGTATTCTAAGGGGATGCCTTCCACAGACCAGAAAAAGCTCTTTACAGAGTGTGGGGTGGTTCAGAGCAGCTCTAACCGGTGAGCCAAGGGGAGATCCAGAAAGGGCAGACTGTTGGCCACAGCAGGGAGGATTGGGAGACAGGTGGAGGCTGCGCTGCAGGGAGGCTTGGGGACTAGGGACCAGGCCGGCACAGTGACAGCCATGGCTCAGGATGGAACACGGCCCTGCCCACAGGCGCTGGCTCGGGAAACATGCTCAGGATGTCCAGGAGGCTGGAAGGTTCTGGGGCAGGGGTGCACAGCCTCTGTGTGTCCTGTCTGGGCCTCTCCCAGGGGATGTGTTGCTCAGGATCTTAGCCCTGGCTTGTCCCTCCTGAAGGGAGTTAATAAAGTGGAAAGAGACTTGGCTCTTGCCAAGAGCCCCTGGCAGTTTAGCAAACGCCATTGTCTGTGCTCCCTGGCCAGTGTCCTGGATTTGAGGCTGTTTTGTTCCCAGCCCAAACCAGTCCCTTTCCTGGCCAGTCTCTTCCCAGCTGCAGCTTGGCACAGAGCCATTGGCTGGCCTCGGCCTTGGGCTATGAGAGCATGAGCTGTCTGGGGGCGTCCAGCCAGCCGATGGTCCTACCAAGGCTGGGGCTACAGGGAAGGACGGCTTGGGCAGCTGGAGGAAGGCAGGCAGCGGGGCACTGGGGCTGCAGGAAAGGGGTGCCAGCGAGCCCGAGCCCCAAGGGCCTGGCAGAACCCTGAGGAAAAGAGATGGCAGGCAAGGGGGAGGGGAGGGAACGGGAGGAGAGCAGGTCACTGCCCCAGTGTCTATCGGTGCTTCTGACTCCCACCCCAGAGGGTACAAGAGCCCTTGCTGTGGTGGACTCTAGGACGTCTCCTTGTGTCTTGCCCTTGGACCTGCGTTTATGCCCTGATCAAACCCCCCTAATACTCTGAAAACGCCTGGGCTTCCCAGCCGCTGCAAGGCCGAGCGGTTCTCTGGGCAAGGGCATGGCTGGGCCAGCGGCAGGGGGACAGGTACCTGGGACATGCTTCGAGGGGCACTGCCCCCTGGTAGAGGGTACACTTCATGCCTGGAGCTCACTGCACACGCAGCCCCTACTGGGCCCGGAAGCCTCTCTTGTCCAGTCCCGAGCCCCCTGCCTCTCCAGAGAGTCCAGTGTGGGCCTGTAGGCGGGCATCAGGAGATAAGCATGGCCTCTAAGCTGTGGATCTTTCTGCAAGATGTACCGTTGTTTTCAGTGGCTCTGACATCCTTTCTGAACCTCCCACCTCCTTCTGCACTGACTCAGGCTCCCTTGCCTTGCTTTACTTTGTCAAAACAGAACAGAAATGTCTGCGAACCACATACATCTCCGGGGACCAAGCCTCACTAATAGTAGAAACAGTGGCAACAATAACGGTAGTGGGTCCGATTTCTTGGAGGGTCACTGAGCGCGAGGGGCTGTGCAAATGTATCCTCTTGCTTCATGCCTGTGGGGACCTGAGATCAGAGTTGCTAAGCTGAGCTAAGTGAGCGGGCGAGATTTGGATTCAAACTCAGCTTCGACTTCAAAGCCCTTGTTATTAGCTACTTACGTTGTACCTTGAAACAGGAATGAAAGTCTAAATTTAAAATGCCAACGACCTCTTTCAAGGCACCTACTCACTATGGGGCAGTTGCCAAGATGGTCTCTCTCCCCCAGGGAACAGTGTGCCAGACACATTATCTCCTCAAATCCTCAAGCCCTCTGAGGAGGATGGTGTTATCAGCTCCATTTTACAGATGGGGAAACAGAAGCCTAGGAGGGTGCAGTGATCTAGCTTTGCCCCTGGGCTGGGAAGCGGTGAGCTGGGGCGTGATGTCAGCCCGTGTGGACAGAGTGCTCAGTGGACAACCACACTGCCCCCCAAGTTGTGCAAGAAACGCGTGAACCAGGGGGCATGGGGGCATGTTTCTGACTCCCCTGAAATTACAACTCAAGAGCCAACGCCGGCCCAGTGGGGAGAAGGCAGGAGGGTGGGCTCTCATTCCCAGGGCTCAGAGGAGGAGGGTCTGCAGCAGGGGCTCGGCCTGGAGGGGGGCTCGGAGGTGAAGCAGCTCACTAACCTGACCTGGGGCTGGACACTAACCTGACCTGGTGGGGGCTGGACAGGGAAGCTGAGGGCAGAATTACTGAAGCCCCGTCATGGTTCACTGGTGGAAGATCACACAGGACTTTGGAGAAGAAACCAGCCCCACGTCCTTGATAGGATGAGGGTCTAGACTGGTGGGGACGAGCCTGCTCCAAGTAAGCTGGACTTAGTGTCAGGATGCCACCCGCGACGTGAAATGTCAGCAGCTACCTACCTGTCCCTCTCTCCTCACGAAGTTCCTTTTGGAGGACGCCCTCCATCTTACTTTGGTTCCTGCTGATTCTTGACTCCTACAGCCCCTCCCGGCTGTCCATACACCCCCTGCCCTTCCATTTGTTCCCTGAGATTTCATCTCCCCCAACGTCCCGGCCCTCCCCGACACACTCTTGCTCCTCACCTGGATGTTCCTTTTGGTGATGTCCCTGGTCAGCTGCGCCTTGCCCGTGCTGGGATCCACGCCGGCCAGTGGCACCATGACCTCCCCGATGACGTCATCTCGGGAGAAGCGGTCAAAGCTGAGGACAAGGAAGTGCAGCACCAGGTCCTGTAGCTGGCTGTACGGGATGCCGTAGAAGGTGAAGGTCTCGTCAAACACAGGGTCCAGCGTCTTCCGCAGCACTCTGGTCTTCACCCGATGCCGCTTGTCGGGAAGGATGGTCATTTTGATGTAGGGGTCAGAACCCTGGGTCTGCTCGTCCATCACCGGCAGCCCGTGGGCCTCCTGGATCGTCACCACTAGGGCTTTTTTCGGGAAGTTATAGTCCACAGAGAAGGTGAGGGTTCCTAGCATGACATCCTCCTCTGGAGATGACGGAGACGTGGTTTTGCTCTCCCCGGGGGTCAGGCTCGCAACGGGGCTCCTCAGTTCTTCCCCATAGTCCACCTTGATGGGTAACTGGTCTATACAGGAGCCGGAGCTGGGTCCCTTGGGCCCTTTGTCGGGGCCCAGCAGGCCAGCCTCTGCCGCATCCACCAGCACATTCCCGCGCCCCCCTTCCCTCCCAGGGCCATCTCTGTCTCTCCGCACTTTGATGATTTTCTTCTTGTTGCTGAGGGTCTCTGGGTATATGCTGATGCCTTTGAGCATATGGATAAACTTATACGGTGGGGTCTTGTGCTTCTTCTCTGCGCGCTGATGGCAGCATGTCCACACAAAGACGGTCACCGAGACGCACACTACCAGCACAGATGCCCCGACGAGGCCAGCCACCACTGGGGACACATCTGAAGGTGGAGACCAGAGGGGTGTCAAGGCAGGTGGACCTCAACCCCCTGCCCAGACCAACCCCTCTGCAGAGCCAAGGTACCTGCAGCCGAGCCTGCACAGCAACACGCTCTTATCGAGGCCTAGGAGCCTCCCGTCTCTGGGAGATGCCCCAAGCCATTCTGTCCAACCAATCCATGGCTGTTCCTTTCCACCAAACCTGCATGAAATCCTTCTCTTCCCCAGGAAGCCTTCCCTAAAGAGCCCCACCCGACTCCTTCTTCTTTTCTTGGCCTTCTCTTAGCACTTAAGGACTTGGTTCACTCTTACTGATTCGTGTTCCACATAAAGCTGCCTTGTGTTATAAAGTTACCTTTTACCTCAACCGTTACACAACACACAAGGGCACGGGGCCGGGTCTGGCTTCAGGAGAATATTCCACGGCATCTCGTACAGGGTTTGCCGTGGGCTCGTGTTGACGGAATGGCCGTCGGGGTGGAAGGATGTAGGGCTGACTCTGGGTGGTCCGGGTAGGGTGTTCAAGGGTGGTAAAAGTGGGTAGGTGGTAAAAAGAAAGCTGGATCTGAGTACTTTAAAACTATGTTCCAAATTCCAGCTCCCAGCTCCAAATACTTGTTTTATTTTATTTTACTTATTTTTTTTTCAAATGCTTGTATTTTAAATAGGAAGAAATAAGGACCATGGAGAACGTCAGGCCTTTGCTCAAATATCACCTTCCTTCCCTGACCGCCGCACATAAAAGTTCAATCTTCTTCCGGCTGAGACCCACGAATCCTAGCCCTGCACAACTTTCTCCTTGTGTCTTACCTTTCTCATACGCGGCAACACACACGCCCGTGAGCACACACATAATATACATCGGCACACACACATGTACATGGTTTTACTGCAAGAAATCTATCTTCACTAGAGAATAAGTCTCACCGGGACTGGGATTTTTTCTATTTTGTTCATTTCTGTCTCACCAGCACTAAAAATGCAGAGCTGGGGGTGCCTGGGTGGCTCAGTCGGTTAAGCGACTGCCTTCGGCTCAGGTCATGATCCTGGAGTCCTGGGATCGAGTCCCACATCGGGCTCCCTGCTCAGCGGGGAGTCTGCTTCTCCCTCTGACCCTCTTTCCCTTTGTGCTCTCTATCTCTCATTCTCTCTCTCTCAAATAAATAAAATCTTAAAAAAAATAAAAAAATAAAAATGCAGAGCTGGTACTTGGTACATATTTGCTGAATGAACAAATAACTACAGAGAAACATTGTTTCCTTCCTTTACTTGTGCCCTTTCCCGTACAAGTGGGACCCCTTAAAGAGTTTGGCGTTTCTTTTCCACTGAAGCCAAACTGGGTTTAGGCCTCAAAAGTCTCCATAAAAGACCTCTATTTTTCCATATTACTTTTTAGGGGAAGACTTGGGTAGGGCAGGGAGAACTAAGGAAATGAACATGACTGTAACACATTCCAGAATCTTCTCGAAACATCCTTCCACCAGGTATCTGCCCGGCTCACTGCCTCACTCACTACAGGCCTCTGCTCAAACCTTACCTCACCAGAAAAGCATCTCCTGGCTGCCCCCAGTGAGATATTATCCCTGTCATTCTGCTTTATTTTTCTTCATAGCACTTATTACACCTGACATATTTTGTCTGTCCTCCCTTACTAGAGAAGATTGGTAAGAATAGTGACTGTTTTTTTGTTTTTTGTTTTTTTATTTGCTTGACAGAGAGAGACACAGTGAGAGAGGGAGCACAAGCAAGGGGAGCGGGAGAGGGAGAAGCAGTCTCCCTGTGGAGCAGGGAGCCTGATGTGGGGCTTAATCCCAGGACCCTGCGACCATGACCTGAGCCGAAGGCAGACGCTTAACAACTGAGCCACTCAGGCGCCCCTGACTGTTTTGTTCACTGCTATATCCCCACGTCCTAGAATCACGTGGCACCTAGTAAAGTATTCAGAGAACAAATGAATCAGTGAATTCAAAACAGCCCCCGCACATTGGAAAAGTGAGTCAATATGATTACATATATCAAAGATAAAGGTAAAATTCTATACTGGTCTTCAAAACCTATCAATACACAACGGGAGACCTTACTTGACAAGTCTGAGCAAAAGCAGTCTAGTTGTGGGGCACCCAGGTGGCTCAGTTGGTTGAGTGCATGACTCTTTATTTTGGCTCAGGTCCTGATCTCAGGGTTGTGCGATTCAGCCCCGCATCAGGCTCGTCGCTAGGCATGGAACCTGCCTAAGATTCTCTCTCTCCCTCTGCCCCTCCCCACCATGTGCATGCGTGTGCACGCGCTCTCTCTCTCTCAAAAAAAAAAAAAATAGTTGTTCAGGTGACCACAAGTCTGATGCCAACCCATACTATGAATATTGTGAATATGTCCAGATGATGGGGGGTGGGGGTAGTATGATTTAATCTGTGCTGGTCATGACATATATGCTATTCCGCCTAGCACGGACAAGAATAACAACGGCTCTTTTCTTGTGCACGTTTATTGTGTCCCTGCCAGACCCTGCGCCAGCGCTCCCTCTCAACCAAAGAACTCGCTGACTAGGTACCACTGATATCCCCACTTTATAACTGAGGATCCTGGGTACTCAAATCTGCCTTAGGCCACGTAGTTGCAAATGGCAGTGATGGAATCCAAACCCTGGTCTGCCTGACACCAGAGTGTCTCTACATGATGGATAATCAGGGTCATAAAAGACCAGGAAACCATACCAAATGAGGAAAAGTTGAAGGAATTGGAGCTGAGGGGTCTGGGAATAATAACTTTCTTCAGTTATTGAAGGCCTTTGGATGGAAAAGGTCTGGTTGGATTGTATGTTGGAGGGCAGGAGGCTACAAGAAGACAGACTCTGACTCAGTGAAAAGAGTCAAATTGTTATTAGAACTGCCTCACAATGGCTCAGATCGCTTCATGAGGCAATGACTCTCCAACTGGAAACTTTCCGAGGTTGGATCTCCCTTGGTGAGGCCTATTCTAAAAGAGATTTCTTCAGTAGGGATTGGACTAAACGTCTCTGAAGTTCTTTCCCCAACATTCCATGATTCTATGAAGGTTGGGGTCAGGCAAGAAAAGAAGGGGTTACATCCTTTAGTAATACAGGAGTAAAGCCCTTAACAAAATAAGTGAAGGTGACCACGTCCACGGCCATACTAAATAATAATAGTGTTTCTCAGATATTAAGTGGAATAAGAGTTGTTAGGGACAGGCTTCACAAAATGGGAGCTGCCTTGGTAGGAAGCTCCTTGAAAGCTGGCAGAAATAACATCCTGTCCATATCTCAGTCCTTGAGGCTTTGCATCTAAAGGGAGCTCAGTAAACAGCTGAAAAACTGATTGGATTCCATGGTCAATGAAAATGGGCACAATCTGAGAAAGTGTCTCTCCGTTCACCAATCAGGGACTTTCTTGAAAACTGCTTGCTACTGATTAATGACAGTGAAGAGCTTACCTCTATAAGACGAGGAAAGCAGGAAACCAACCAGATAGGTACATTTTTGAGAATGATTTAAAAGAGAGATATAAAGGTCCAGGCTGGGAGACATCTGAGTGATCCTTTGGGCTCCACCACAGATTTTACTCTGTGGTCTGGAGAGTACCCACTGATGCCTCCATATCTGCTGTTAGAAAATGGAGGCGGGATGGGGGAGAGAAGAGGAGGGATTCCCTTGTTTCAGGACAGGGAAGGAAAAGAAGACAAACCTGTGAGGCCATCTGTGGACTATTCCAGGCACTCTCCTCCACCTGCTTTCCCACTTCTCCCCCTCTCTTTCTTCGTTTTAGTATCTGTTAACCCCTGCCTCTCTCCTCCACACCCAAGGCAGTGAACTAGAAAATCAGAGATGCGAAACCAGGAACCCTCTGTCTTGCTTTCATCAAAAGCTTGGTGGGAAAAGGAAGTTGGAACTAATGGCTGAAGTAAGGGTTTTAAAGTAGTCATAAATTGCAAGTGACTGTGCTGCTTGCTCCTTTTGTCCTCCAAGGTCACGGCTAATTGAGTGTTGGCTGGGTGCACCTCCCAAGGGCTAAGGCATTTGAAATGAAGTACTCTATGGGATGTGAGAGCGTCGGAAGTGGCAGCTCTCTATGTAGGACCCCTGTATACGTCCAAAGACCGTAAGACGTCTCTGGGCTGTGCTCTGCCTCTCAGCCTTGGACCAGACCTGCTGTTGACACTCCCTTTACTAAAACAGCTTTTCCCTGTCAAGTGGGCCAGGGTGATACAGTGAAATGACAATGGACTTTGGCATCAGTGGGACATTGGTTTAAGTCCCAGCATTACCTTTGCTGTTTGTTTGACTTGACCCAAGTTATTTTGTCTCACTGAACCTCAGTTTCCTCATCTGGCAAATATATATAATAATGCCTACACCGGAGGATGCTGTAAGGATTAAATAAAATGGAGTATGTAAAATGTTGAAATAATTTCTTTTCTCTCTCCCACTAATATTCCTTCTAAAGGAAACCACTATATTATGCTCCACATGCTCTAACTTTCCAAGGAATCTGGAACTCCAATTAGAGAAAAGAATATGTTGGAAAGAAGGCATAAGACAAAAGAGAAAGAGCAGGGAAAAAAAATCATGGAGTGCTCATGTGACTACAAAAGGGACAACTGTTTTGTAAATTTAGGACTCAGAGATAGAGATGCAGAAGGTGGAGTGGAAGAAAGAAATACAGCAAGCCTTGGGGAATCAGTGGGAACCAGTAGCTAATGGGTGTGATTTGCTCTCTGGATACCTCCCCTGATCTGAAGTCTTCTTCCTGATATTGAAGTGGGAGAGCTCATTTCCATTAACCTCTTACTGGGGGATGAGAAAAGCCATTTCCTAGTTGGATTGTGGCCCCACCCTAAAAATTGTTGTCTGGATGCTCAAACCTTCTGGATTGTCTGAAAGATAGACTCTCTTAGGGGATATGAAGGAACCCTCGGCTGACAGCAACTCTCATCCAAGCTGGGGTGGAAGTGAGGGAGGAGCAGGGCAACTCCTTTATTTTTCAACCAGGAAAGCAAAGCCCAGGAAGTTTGCAACCCTAGCACATTTGGGAGGAAGCCCCAGAAAGGAAAAAACTTGCTTATCCAGCTTTTCTTTCCCGTCTTCCTCCCTATTTTCCACTCCACTCTCCGCCCCTGGGAGTGCAGCCGAGCTCGGAGCCTGGAGGCCCGGTCCGGGACCAGCCGCTCCGCGATGACGTAATGCCTTGCCGGGTACACAAAGCGGCCTCCCCCGGGCCCGGCCTCTCTGCCCCTCCCCCCGGCCGGGCCCGCGCCCCCGCCAGCACCAGCGCGGTGAGTCCCCCTTTCGAAAAGGCCAGCCAGGGAAACAGGGAACAAAGGCCGGGGAAGAGGGGCCTGGGCGCTGCCAGGAGGCCCAGAATAGACATCACGTCATCCCCGGCTCGGCAGCGCCAAGCGCCATTTGGTAGCATCGGACGGACCCACCATTACGGTGCAGAACCGCACTTGGGGGCCCTCCGCGGCCGCCGGCCCTGCGCCCCGCGCCCCACCGCCGGCCGGGCAGGGCTCCCCGCGCCCTCGCCCCCGCAGCCCCGGGTGCTCCGCGGCCGTCCCCCCGCCCCGGGACCCCCAACCCCCCAGCTGCCATCTTGTCGCCCATCCCCCACCGCCCCCCCCCCCCCCCGGCCGGGGGGGTGGGGGGGGGAGCAGGGGCCCCCGCCCTGCCCCCCCGGGGGGGGGGGCCCGCCTCCTGCCCCCCCCCACTCCCACCCCGCAGAGCGCTGACGCGGCCCCACACAGGTTGGCGCGTCCGTCGGGACCCACGACCCCCGGCGAACCCCCGGCCGGGCCGGCCCCTGCAGCCGGCAGCTCAAGTTCAGGCGCCGCCCGCCGCCGTGGCAGGCCCCATCCTAGCGGGGCCGGCGCTGGAAGGCCCTGATGTGGGCTTCTCTCCCTCCCAGCACTGGGCCCCTCTGGCTTTGCGGCGGTGCCCACAGCCCCAGGCTTAGTTTTCCCGACTCTACTTACCAAAGCTAGGTCGGATATTGGTGATCTCAGCCATGTCGTAACCAGAGGCTATTGCTATAAACGCTTTTTCGAGGGTGGGACAAGTCTGGGGGCGCCCGGTCAGCACCGAGGCCGCCGCTGTAGAGCGCTAGCTCAGGGGAGGGGGAAGGTGTCTGGCGGACGCCTCCTGCGACGGTCGGGCCCCTGGTCGCCAGCTGCGGCCGCCTCCTAAGATGCTCCAGGGATGCTCTGAGCGAAGGATGCAGGTGCAGCCAGACTGGTCCTGATGCGAGGTAGGCCCCGCCTTCTTCCGAACGGCCCTCGGCAGAAGACTCCGCCTCCGTCCGAAAAGTTCCGGAGGCCAGGCCCCGCCCCGCCCCTTTCCGGAAGCTCTCGGCGAGAGGACCCCTGCGGTCGCAGAGATTGCTTGAGAATTGAGACCCCGCCCACTGGCGGGCTGAGGGTCCGTAAGGCGGCAGCCGCGCGGCCCAAGAGGTGTCGGTACTTTTTTCTATGAGGTCCTGTAGCTCCTGTGATTCCGTTCCCCGGGCTAAATACAGCGGCAGAATGTTCTGGGTGACAGGGAACCCAGGACTGTGGAAAAAGAAAATTCTATACTGCCTGCATTTCACTATCATTTACCATTATTGTTACGCATTTCTGAGACCACTAAGGGTCATTACAGAAACTTCGTAAACTTCAGAAGGTCTGATTAAAGACTAAACCAGGTGATGGTTGCACAACTCTGGGAATTTACTGGGAATAATTATAGAAGTAAAATGCTACAATCCATCTACGGATGGGTTTTGTGGTGCGTACATTAAAGCTGTTAAAAAAAAAAAAGACTAGTGAGGTGTGTCAGAGTTCACCTGTGTTGGGTATTTCCCTTCCAAAACTTTCCACACACACACACGATGGGAGAGAGAAGGGCAGAGCGAGCGAGCAAACCAACAGATCTGTGCATTCTGTAGGTTGAAGAACAGGACACGGACGAAACTCCAAGCTTCTAGAGACTTCCTTGGCATTTGGGAGAGGTAGGGTGATTCAGGTTGTAGAATCCTGGCAGGAACCTCCATGATTACTGCAATTTCACCCTTCTTTTTGACTGTGGATGCTTTCATCTTGTTTACAGACAGGATCAGGTCAAATTATTTAAATGCATAAATATTTGTTGGTGGTTCACCTGTAAACTCTGAATGTTTAACACAGCTGAATGTGTTTTTTTTCCCCAGCTTCGACATTCTGTCCTTCTAGAAAAGTGGAAAGAACATGGTTCTAGAAATCATTTATTCACTCAAAATCCATGTATTGAACATCCACTCTGCCCCCGGCACCCTCCCGAGCACTGGGTCAGTGTGCCTTAGAAGCCAGATTTAGGATACCTGATTTCCCCTGATAGAGCTGTGTGTGTTTGTGAAATCACCCTCCCAGCTGAGCCCGAAATTTGTTCTGTGTAAATTGGAAGGTGTAATAGCCATCGTCCCACGGGGTTTATTGTGAAGATGAGATCACCTATGATAACGTAAGTGAAAGCATTTGGTGGAATGAAGAGTATTATACAGACAGGAGTAATCACTATGGGTTGAGTCCCAGACTGCCTTCGTTTTATTCGGGAAACTGAACTATTTGTACAAACCAGGGAGTCCTCTGCAATCTTACGAATTCGCCATTTCCTCGGTCCCGTATTCCAGGTATCTCGCGGCGGGAAGGACTGGTTGTCAGACTACACCACTGCATCGCAACCCCCAGCTTTGTTTAGCGTAGGGCAGCTCCACCGACAGAAAAAGCCAGGGCTCGCCCTTAAATTCTTGGGCCGACCGCTGGCGCGGCGGCTTCAGTCCGCCCCAAGCTAGCATGGCGCCCGGAGGCTGGCGCATGCTCATTGGCGGCTCGGGGGCGCGCACGTCCGCCGTCGCCGTTGGCCGACTTCCGGCGGTAGCGAAGCTGGGTTTCCGCGGGACCTGGCCGGCTGGTGAGGGCGGCGGGGCGCGTGCGGCGGGGCGGAAAGAGGGGTCGGGTCAGCGCGGGGTGCGTGACGGTGCCGGGCTGGGCGTGGGGAGCTGGGCCGCCGCTCGGCGCCGAGGTGGGGAGCGCAGCGAGGACCCCCCTTTGGAATCTGTGCCCGGGAGGGGCCCGCGCTGGCGCTGCCCGGGGTCGCATTCATTCCCCCCGCTGGTGTGAGTCCAGTTCCCGGAGCCGGGGCCTTAAGAGAGCTGCTGCGTTTTGAAGTGCCTGGGGCCCATCTCTGCACGCTGCTGCCTCTGAATGGTAGCTGCCTGCCTCCCGTCCTTCTTCCTCTTCTCTCAACTTGTCATTCATCTCCGAAGTGTAGGACCCGTGCAGGCTGCTCCCGCCCCGCCTCTTCCCTACTCTCCACCGTGCCTCACCGGGGTCAGCAGAACCTTCACGTGTTTATTGAGCTTTAATAACCAATCAGTGTGCATTAGAAGCCAGAATTAGGATACCTGATTTCCCCTGATAGGTGTGTGTGTTTGTGAAACAAACTGGTTTGGAGCCAGGGGTGGGGTTCTCCTGCTCCCTGGAGAGACTGAATTAGGGGAGGTTTATTTTATTTTTAAGAATTATCTTTTTATTTTAAGTAATCTCTGTCCCCAGCGTGGGGCTCGAACTCACAACCCTGAGAGCAAGAGTTGTACCTGCGCTCTTCTGACTGAGCCAGTCAGGCGCCCCTGAATTGGGGAGTTTTAAAATAACCTTATTGTTCAGACTCTGAGAGAGAACTTTCTTAGTCCTCTAGTCCAGGCTTTCATGTAGTACCCTGGTAGATGGGCACTGTCAGTGAGGAAGAACTCAGTGTTGTACAAGGCAACTTAACTTTATTCTTTTTTTTTTTAAAGATTTTATTTATTTATTTGAGAGACAGAGAATGAAAGAGAGAGAGAGCACATGAGAGAGGGGAGGGTCAGAGGGAGAAACAGACTCCCCACTGAGCAGGGAGCCCGATGTGGGACTCGATCCGGGGACTCCAGGATCATGACCTGAGCCGAAGGCAGTCACTTTAACCAACTGAGCCACCCAGACGCCCAACTTAACTTTATTCTTGAACCTATTTTATAAAAGTTTTTCTGGGTAGAAAGATGCGATCAGCTTCCATCCAGTGCTTAACTCATGGTCCAAATGCTGCATAGAATAAGCACCAAATGGGAAGTTCATGCCCTCTTTCATTTGTTCGTTTCTTCAGGAAACATTCATTGAGTATACCATAGGCAGATCCTGCCAAGTACTGGGGGTACCAGTACCAGTTGGAAGAGTCCTTTTCCTCAGAAAGCATGTAGTTTTGGGGGAAGGAGATGGGAAGGAGACAGACAAGAGAATGACAAAAATGATAAATACTGTAAAAGAGCTTTGCAAACAGGTGCTATAAGAACGTAAAAGGTACCTTCCAGCTTAAGTTATTGTTGCCCTTAAATTGTGAAAAACCGGGATAGAAGCCAAGAGTCAAGAAGTAGCATAGCATAGAGAATAGAACTCCTGTTTTCAACACAAAATTTCTGTTAATATAGCTTAACCTTTTTAAACAACCACACTTTGCTTTTGGATTGTTTCTATTAATGGAACTACCTGTTCATGAAAACAGCAATAGCAAACATTGATCTAATAAATTGCTGTCTAATGACATAGATGCTGTTTTTATTTCATTTTTAAAAACATTTTTAAAAAAGATTTTGTTTATTGGGATGCCTGGGTGGCTCAGTCAGTTAAGCGTCTGCCGTCAGCTCAGGTCATGATCTTGGGGTCTTGGGATCGAGTCCCGCATCGGGCTCCTTGCTTGGCAGGGAGCCTGCTTCTCCCCCTGCCTGCCGCTCCCCCCGGCTTGTGCGCTGTCTCTCTCTCTGGCAAACAAACAAACAAATAAATAAATAAAATGGTTGATCTTTTTTTAAAAAAGATTTATTTATTTATTTGAGAGAGAGAGGGAGGGTCAGAGAACACAAGCAGAGGGAGCGGCAGAGGGAGAAGCAGGCTCCCCGCTGAGCCGGGAGCTGGAGTCAGGGCTCGATCCCAGAACCCTGGGATCATGACCTGAGAGCCGAAGGCAGATGCTTAACCGACTGAGCCACCCACGTGTCCGCATTTCATTTTATAGCTGAGGAAACTGAGGTTCAGTTTAAGTAACTTATGCAGGGTCACAAAGCTGGAGAGAAGGTGATTTGGGAAACAAATGGAGTTTGACTCCACAGTTTGCTCTCAGCATCATGCTTTTCTACCTCCCTGATGGTAGTAATGGTAACTAACATCTACTGATCACTTACTGTTTAATTTTTACAATAACTCTATGAGGTAAGCCCAGTTGTTATCCTTGAAAGTGGAGGAAACTCAAGATCAGAGAGGTTAAATCACTCAGCCAAGATAGCGTACTAGTATGCTGAAGTTAGGGTTTGAGCACCGCACTCTAACCACAGGCGCTCATCTCCCACCTATCGGGACATTGTGTATTTGGTGTAAAGTACTGTGTCCATGACTGAACATGAATAAGTGGAAAGATACTTGAAGAAATGCTCTTATCATTAATTACATGAGGGTGATGAGAACTTGCTTTTCTCCTTCCAGGATGGAACAGCAGTGGGGCTTGGACAATGTTGCCCTGTAAGAAGAGAAGGGCTATGGTGACAGAGTCCCCACAGCACCAGGGCAACCAGGAGGAAGGGGGCCTAGACCTGGAGTTGGCTGTTAAGGCGTCGTCTGACCAGGTGAAAGACTTGGGGTCACCGTCACTCTCTGGGAGTCCGAGTCATGGCAGAGCAGCTGGCCTCCAAATAGAGTCCGTGCAGGATGCTGGAAATCAGCTTGGTGCGGAGGATCCGTCTTTGAGCTCTAGGGTGCTCACCCAGGACACAAATGCACCAGTTTTAGAAGCTGTTGATGTGGCCATCTCTCAGGGAATCACCCTACCTTCCTTGGAGTCTTCGCAGCCCCTTAATGTACACATTGGTAAAGGAAAAGTGCAGGCCACTGGCTCAAGGAGAGGAAAGAAGGTGACACTCAGGCCTGGGCTTGTTCCCCAAGAAGACAGAGGTGATCATCCTATTACAAAGGAGCCTTTTTCAGGAGAGCCGAGTGAAGAAGTCAAGGAAGAAGGAGGTAAGATGAACGGTCGTTAGGCCATGTTTGCCTTGATGCACCAGTTTGCCACCGTGCTCTCTGCAGTTCATTTATGAAGCAGCGTTTGTGACGGGATACCGATTCACTGTGGACTCGGAACCGCACCGCTCGTAAGGGCCAGCAGTCAGGTTTATGAATGGGTGGAGACTGTCTTGTCCCTGCCGTCCCGAGATCCTCTTCTGTATCCTTCTCTTTCTCTTACCCCCTCGTGTCTGGAGTGGTGAGCTCTGTGTGGCCTTTTGTGATTTGGTGGGTGGACGTGGACATGAAGTGGGGCTTGTGGAGGAGGGGCAGCAATGTAAAGGGACAGTGGATGGGGCTCCACGGAGATGACATAACCCTTAGGACTTGAGGGATAAGAGTTTGACAGTTGGTGGCTTGGGGTCTCGTAGGCCCAAGAGCAGTAGGCGCCAAGGCAGAGGCCGAAGGGGATGGTGACATGGTTGGTTGGAAGAAGTGAGAGATGTCTTCAGAGCGGTTGATTATGTTTAGATTGTGAAGGGCTTTGTTTTTCATGCTCAGGCGTTTGAACTTTTCCTGTAGGTGATAGCTAGTTAATAAATAAAAGAAGCAGAAGGCACAGTTCTCGCCTCAGAAAGCTTGTAGTCTGGTTGAGAAGACAAGATAAGCACATAATTCATTTGGAGCAGCCGGAGGCAAGCAGAGGACACAGCCTTGCCCTTCTCTCCCTGAGACCTTACAAAGGCTTGGACTGGGATATTGGCCGTGGGGAGAGAGGAAAGGGTGTGTCTCAGAGACACTACGAAGGAAGAACTGATCTTGCTCGGAGCCTCATACCATTTAAGAGATCTGTCCTGGGGATGGTGGCGCAGGTGTTGGGGGGATTGGAAAGGAGTTGGGCTTTAGGTATGAGGAGTGTGAGGTGTGATATGGGGGCCATCAAGATAAAATAGAACTCTCAGATTGAAGTTGGGTAGGAGGTAGAATTAGAAACCTTCAGAGTGTTCGCTGTGTTTCTTCATGGAGAGGAATGTGGAGGGAGGGGACCAGCTTATGCTGGGGAAGATGACAGAGAAGGGAAAACTGGAGAAATGATAGGAGAAGTCAGGAAGGAGGAGAGCTCTGAGAACAAGGCACATCATTTATTTATTTGTTTGTGTGTTTAAAAAGATTTTATTTATGGGCGCCTGGGTGGCTCAGTCGGTTGGGCGACTGCCTTCGGCTTAGGTCATGATCCTGGAGTCCCGGGATCGAGTCCCGCATCGGGCTCCCTGCTCAGCAGGGAGTCTGCCTCTCCCTCTGACCCTCTTCCCTCTCGTGCTCTCTGGCTCTCACTCTCTCTCTCAAATAAATAAGTAAAATCTTTAAAAAAAAAAGATTTTATTTATTTGACAGAGAAAGACACAGCAAGAGAGGGAACATAGGCAGGGGTTGTGGCAGAGGGAGAAGCAGGCTTCCCGCTGAGCAGGGAGCCCGATGTGGGGCTCGATCCCAGGACCCTGGGACCATGACCTGAGCCGAAGGCAGATGCTTAACGACTGAGCCACCCAGGCGCCCCAAGGCACATGATTTAAAAGTTAGTGACAAAGGAGAGAGAAGGATGATGGGGCCCGACAGAAGGCTGTGCTTGCAGCTTGGAGGTGGTTGAGAGGGGGCGCCGGAGAGTTTCTGGGACGAGGAGATCAGATGGAACTCAGGAGGGAGAATGACAGCAGCACTGGCTGTTTTGCAGCAGGAGGATGGAGACGGCCAG